ATCTTACAAGCGACATTCAAAAAATTTCATATGAAAGAAAGAAATATCCTACTAACAACCCAAATAATAAATAGCATCTTTAAATAACCATAAACCAAAAGTCACATAATTCCATGCTTCACATACCACATATTGATCTCTCATACATATTATATTGCACAAATCTTCACTTATTAATCTATATTACATTAATTAATCCTTAAACATGATACTAGGTGATCACAACACTCAAATTTGCACAGTTAACTAACACATACATGATTTAAACCCCTAGCATAATCACTTCATTCAAAAATAGACAACATAAAAAGAATTAAATACAATGCACATAGAAAGAAGGAAAATTTGTTAATTACAACATTAAAAGGGGTCATTGTGAATTACTACCCCTAAAAAAAAGATTACTACCATAAAACTGAATAATTCTATAGATTGCTACCCTTTTCCCTAATTAGGTGACTTAATCTCTTAATGACATCATTATTTGACTAATTTCTAATTAGTTGCTTTTAAGGCATGATTAATCAAATAAACCCTAACACCACCTCTAAACCACCACTGCACCACCTCCGACAGCCCCCCTTACACCATGCCCACCATCTCCGGCAGCCCCCTAACCCCATCCCTACCATTTCTGACAGCCTACCCCTGTCCTGACATCCACCCTACCTCTAAACCACCCATTGCACCACCTCTAAACCCCCAACAATGTCTACCACCCTCGAAATATCCCTTCTCCCCACCCGCCGACGACCTTAAACTCGTCATCCTTGCCAGAGAACCCTACTAGGCCCTCCCTTAGCCTCTTTCACCCCTCCCCCCCCCCCTTAATCCCCACCCTAAAGTTCTTAAATTTAAACCCTAAAGCCCTAAAATTGAAACCCTAGGGTGGTGATTAGGGGAAAAGGGGATAAAGGCTGATTAGGGATGATCAAGCAAGGTTTTTCGGCGAAGGGTAGGGGGTCAGGGCAGCCGCGAGTGGGGAGGGAGGTATCGTGAAAGGGAGGTGGTTTTAGGGTGGGAAGATTGTTGTTTTAGGGTGGGGACCAAGAAAGGGGTGTTGTCATGGTGGGGAGTTAGAGGAGGTAGGTTCGGTGGTGGGTGGAAGGTGGCCGGAGGTGGTGCAATGGTGGTGTGGAGGTGGTTGTAGGGTTTAGTTAACTATTTAAGGTTTAAAAGCAACTAATTACAAATTAGCCGGATAATGATATCATTAATAGATTAAATCACCTAATTAGGGGCTAATTAGGGAAAAGGGTAGAAATCTATAGAATTAATTAGTTTTAGGGTAGTAATTAACAACTTTTTTTTTAAGGGTAGTAATTCACAAAGACCCCTTTTTGAGGTCGTAATTAACAAATTTTTCTAGAAAGAAATCATCAATCTTATATGCCCATCCTAAGAATACCCAAAACTCACCGATAAAATAAAATAATTTCTCAAGTTTAAATAAAAAAATAAATACGCAGATTCATTTTATTTCAAAAAAAATTAATAACGTAATAATTTATATAAATACATATATTTTATTTAAAATTCCGAATTACTTTAATTAAAATATTTTTTTTTTGAAATTAAAGTTTTACTTTAAATCACGTCATAAAATAAAAAAAAATCATAAGATTTAAAACGTTAGGAGCCTAAAAACTTTAAATTAACTTTAGTGGTAACAAAATTGAACCTAAGCTCTCTGATACCACTTTGTAACACCCCAATACTTCTCTCTTTAAACCTGTTAATACCTTGATCAAAATCCAAGATAATTACTAACGTGTTACCGCCACGTGTTCAAACGTTAAGGCTAATTTTAGAATTTAGCAGCGGAAAAACTAACTCATTTAAAAATAAGTTTCAAAATCAACGAATAAAACCGAATTAAGTGTTACAAGTTGGAACCATTAAGGTCCTTATTCAAAACCCAACAAAAGTAGTAAATAAATAGAATCAGAGTTTAAATAAATTAAAACTTATAAAAAGAAATAAACTGCGAACAATAACCAACTCTCCACTCAAACATCCCATAACCCTGATGCGAATGTTGCATGTGTAAGAACCTGTGGTTATTCTGCTCCCCATTATTACAAGTGTAAAAATTGGATCATCACATGGTCATTGAAAGTTGAAGGCCATGACCAAAGAAAGATACACAAAAGCACACAATCAGCAAAGCAGAGTACATACTAGTGCAAAATAAAATAAGAAATCCTTAACATGCTACTAATAATAAATCATCATGCATCTTTGAATTATAGACTCAACACACGACTCAACCATTCACTAGTGAATGGTAGTTAACTCAGTTCATTTAATTCATTGGATTAAGCAATAGACAAGGTAGTCCAACCCATGCTCCATTTGGAACATCAATAAAAGAAAAACCACATGCCTCCTTTCGGAAACATTAATAAAACATCCAACGACCACGGGCGCAACTCCATGACCGTAGCTAGTATAAGATCTCATCTAACTCCTAGTTTTGAAAAATATTTGAAATAAGAGACTCGTAGAGCAAACGGCCTCGAGAAAAGTGCACGACTAATACCCCGTGTACCCCAACCCAAGTTTGTCATTACTCTAGATGTGCACCAATCCAGAGTTTTATTGCTCATCCATCTTGCATTTTACGTGATTTAAAAGTTCAAACTTGGTGATGGCTCATATACAAACAATACAACCAAATCCAATATCAATTCAATCAAGCAAAACAAGTTTCCAATTTCAATTCTTGATTTATTAGTGGCAAGCAATATTTATTATTGATTTCTTTAACTACTTCGGTGTATAAACACCTTGAGTGCATAAGGCACCCCAAAACACTAACCTCGTCTTATAAGACTTAAATTTTTCCTTTACTCATTCTATTTCAATAATCATGAACGAGTAATAGACAAATCATTCCACCAAATCACATACCTTTGCCTCTAAGCGCATTTTGCAAAATAAATACATAAATAACAATTACAAAATAACATAGTGCACAACATATGGAAATAACAATTTATAACCAAACAATTATGCCCAGTCTTCTCTATACATGATACTAAGTTCTCATTTCGTTCCTAAACATGCTTCTAAAGGCAAGGTTTCGTAACTCGTACATACCTTGAATAAACGAATTCGTATGCCAATTTACTAACTAGAATCCCCTTCAATAAAATCCTCTCCTAAACCAAACAATAAGAATTCAATCAATTCCCCAGCAACATAATTTACAACAATACTAATTAAGTTTAAAAGCTTCAAAAATCATTGAAACGACAACTTTAAGCCTCCCGAAAGTCTAGGTTAGTAGTTTAGAAGTATTAGCATAAATTTCCATAGAAAAAATCCTTTAGATACATATTTATCTATAAAATTTCAACAAGCTTATTAAGAACAATTTTAAAATCTGAAATTTAATTTTAAACAAGTAATTTGAAGTTATATAAATTCTTATTTACTATATAGTAGATTAGTAGACTTTAATAAAACCCAAAATCCACAATACAACAAATTGACCTTTGTGCCATGAGTAAAATCGTGGCACAAGTTTCAAATTTCCGTGGCTATGTAATTTTGCCACGGGAATTTTGAAATTTTACCAAACCCCAACAACAACTAATTGTAATTACTCGCTACTCTAATAATTACCCGCTACCCGACTGCTAAAAGCTACTCCTACCCTTGGTTTTTCCAAACATGACCCAAGTAAAAGTCAATTCCCAAAAAAGTCAAAGCCTACGGACTTAATTAAACTTGTGCTTTGATTTTTTTTTGTTTAATTTTTCAACTTCTTCTTCTCGCATCTCAAAACTCATTCTTACCCCCGATACTACCTATTTAACCCACCTGTGCTTCATCTTTCCTCTCAAAATTTTCCAAGTTCCTAACAATTCCATCTTTCTTGTCTTTTTTAGATTCACTCTTACCCCGTTCTCCATTGCCTCTAGAAATTCATTCGTTTATTCAGAATCTTGTTGGCATGGGGTGGATTGATGGTGGTGGGTTGTCGGTGGTTTTTAGGGTTCTAATCTGAAACCCATGAAGCGGTTCCTCACCTCCACGACTTTCTATATTCACGGCTTTCAATAGTAACTAGTAGAAAAAATGCTATTTGTAACGCCCTATTAGTAACTGGCGTATATTATGCTAGTTACAGAAGCATCAGTAGTAACCGACTAAGATAATGCAAGTTACAAATTCTATGATATTTGTAACCAACGTAGTAAATGTCAGTTACTAATATGTGGTTTATCTTTATTTGAAGTTTTATTAGTAACTGACTAAATAAATGTCAGTTACAAATGTTCAGTAACAAAAAATAATACAAAAAAATTGTAACTAGCTTACAAACGCCAGTTATAAATACTTAGTCAAAGAAAATTTGACCACAGCGTTTGTAACTAGCTTATAAACGCCAGTTACAAATTTTAAATCAAAAAAATTTGACCAAAACATTTGTAACTAGCTTAGAAACACCAGTTACAAATAATTAGTCAAAGAAAAGTTATCCAAAACATTTGTAACTAGGTTACAAATGCCAGTTACAAATAATAAATTTTGTAACTAGCTTACAACCGCTAGTTATAAATAATAAGTCTAATAATAATTTTTGTTTTTGTTAAAAGAAACAAATATTAAGTTTCTAGTTTTTTTTTTTTTTTTTTTTTTTTGAAGGAAAGTTTCTAGTTTTCTACTTTCTCTTAATTTTATTTATTTTTCATTAATTTTTTTTTTGAAAAGTAATTTTCATTTAAACTTTGATTAAAGATTAAAAAAAAGAAAAATAAAATTAAGGTATCTAGTATTATTCAGGTAAATTCGCAAAAATAAAAAAAAACCAACACTTTCGCTCCCCCTTCACTGCTCCTCCTTCACCCCTTCACTGCTCCTCCTTCTCTTTCGCTGCATCTCACTCTATTAATTGTTGTTTTGGTTTGTTCGAATTTTGGATCATCTTTAGGGGATTTTTATCAAAGTTTTGAGGTATGTGTTCCTTTTGAATTAGGGTTATTTTACCTTCAATTAGTTGTTTTATATGTAAATTCGAATTGAATGTTGTTGTTTTCAATTACTTGATTAATTTTTAATGAAATTAGATTATTAAAAACCAAGGAAATTAGGTTTTGATGAATAATTTCGAACAAAAAAAATTAAGAAACGATTATTGTTTGTGTTACTGCTTTGTGTGTGCGACTGTGTGTGTGTTAGAGAGACTGTTTGTGTGTAAATCTTGTATTTAATCAATCGCTTTGATCTATTAATACATCTATCTGTTTGTCTAAACTACTAAATTGAATTTTGGTGGTGAAATAATATGTGACTATAAGGATTTGTTAGTGGGATGGTATAGCTCTGCCAAACATTCCAGACCAACAATATACTTTGGTATATTGAAAACATTATTGTCTTGGGATATTGAACATTAATCTAATAGCAGCGTTTCTTGCTATTAGAGTACATGCATGTCTAATTGGGGTACACTAGCTGAGTATGTCAAGCTGCTGTTTAATAGCTAAAGATTCTAATTGGGGGACACTAGCCGAGTATGTCAGGCAGCTGTTTTTCTCTTTAAAGCGTGTGTAAATTTGTGTGTGCAAGTTAATTGAGATAACCGTCACATTGAGAATACTGTTGTTTTTGTTATAGTTATTGATTCTATGATGAACGTTGTTGTGGTTGTTGTTGTGTTGAACGCTATTATTGGCAAGTTATTGTTGTTGTTATTGCTTCAATGTTGAACTAGTCGAGTACATCAGGTTGTTTTAGTTGTTGGTGTGTTGTAATTGTAGTTGCTTGTTACTTATCTTGGTCTAATAGTCATGCAAATGTGCGTATCAAGTGGCTGAATTTCATCCTTTTGCTTTGTTGTATGTTCTTGATAGAATATAAAGGCCAAGATTGCAATCAAAATCTGAAACACTACTTTGTTGTTTTAGTTGTTGGTGTGTTATATATATATATGCTGCAAATACATCATACTGTGAATTTTGCTGAGGTTGTCATTTACCACTGTCTGTGTGTGTGGAGTGGTAATTAGGCCTATAGCTGGTTGTAATTCTTCATTGGTTTGTTAATATAGCCAATAATGTAGTGTCTTGTTTAATCATTTTTTTTCTTCAATTTTTTGTTTGTTTGTTGTTGCATAACTGTATAATCCTCTTTAATGATCTGTAGTGACTCTTTCTATAGTACTCGAACTTGGGTAGAGTTGACACATATACATTTGGTCTACGTGTTAGATTGGTTGTTACATAATTTTTTTTTCTTTTTAAGTTCTAGGTTTCTGGAGATGAGGGTATAGTTAGAACACTTAGACGTAGTTGTGACTTGTGAGGGATGTTTTAACACTCGTAAACAACGATAATTGATTGATAAACAACCAAGTCAGAATTTTAGACAAGCCTAACTTCCCAAACTTCTTCTGTTTACTGCTGAAAGGAAGGAAAACAGAGAGAAAGAACAAGCTGTCCATTAAGTATCCCTGCACCCCCCTGCCTGACCCATATGTTCCTCCCAAAACCCATTTACCAAAGGTCAATTTAACAAAAAATCAGTTTTTGTACAAAGAATCTTACCTGCTTTTATTTCTCATACTTATTAGTTGTTAATTGTAGATTATGCTTTCATGTTTCTTGCGACATTATCAATTATGTAGGTCCCAACTAAATGTCGTCTTGCTTTAGTTGATGAGTTCAGTGAGAACTCAGTGATTGTGGCCGATGGATCGGCAAAACCTTGTCCTAGATGAGTGATTCATAACAAGAAAATGAACCGTGACATCTATAGAGTTAGTGTTGACCATGTTTACAGTAATTATTCTCACCTAAATCTCGCAGAAGAGACTGATGACGGTATCACTATGTTGGGTGAGGTGAAAGGTTTTTTTTTGGGGTAGCCGACAGATTTAGTCTTCTTTACTGATGAGGTAATTCATTGATATGCTATGTAATTGTAACTAAATTATATTAGTACTTATCTTTTCTTGAAGGTTATGACTTTGGCAAAAAAGACGGATAATGAATTGGTGAAAACCAAAGAGAAAGTTGATAGTTGCGGACCTATTAAATCAGAGCATTCAACTATTAAAGGCAAAGGCATAACTATTCCGGAAAATATTGTTGAGAGTCTTGGTAAACATTGTTCTATGTTGTATTATTGCATGACTTCAGGAAGTGGAGATTATGATACTACGATAATTCCATTGAAGGCTCCATTGTTTTATAAAAAGGAAGACACACAAATTTATGTTACTAGTGATGATGTCTCTGAATTACTACGAGGAGCATGGGCAAATATTTCATTAATCCATGTCTACATATTGTAAATACTAACATTCATTAAAGTTATTTGAATTTGTTTCACTCTGAAATATATTTTGTTAGATCCATTTATTATACTAATTATTTATTTTTTCTTTAAAATGCAGGTACTTAATTGAAGAGCATATCTCATTATTTCAGAAGACTAAAATCAAATTCTTGTGCTCCCAAAAAATTTCTGCAGATGAAATCAAGAAAGATTTCCTTGAAGTCCAAATGTATTTGAAAAATGCTTTTCTTACTAAATTAAGGAAAAAAGATGCACAATGCAAATTCATTTTGGCTCCATATATGGAAGCGTATGTACTACTGGTCCTTGATATCTTTACTTTTTCATAATTTTATTATTTTAATTATGTGGATAATACAAACATGTTTATTGAAATGTAGGAATCATTGGGTACTCTATGTGATTGATTTGCATATGAGTCTTGTGTATGAGTTTGATTCTGTTATTCAATCACCTCCGAACGCTCGAAACTCAGAGTTGTCCAAAGTAATGAAGATGTTAGTACACAACATTACTAGTACTACATATTCATATGCATGTGATTAAAAGTTATTTTTCATTCGTTTAATCTAATGATTTTTATGACTTTTTTTAGACCTTACAATGTATATAGGTCTCACGTTAAAGGAAATTCTATCAAAACGAGTAAGCCACAATTATTACACATAAGAATGGAGGTAAGCGTATATTTTTTGCTTTTTCGTTCTATTAGTAATGAAAGTATTATTTAATATATTAAATAATTGTACTGTGTTCATTTGAATTAGTGTACTCAACAATGTGGTGGTACCGAATGTACTTATTAGGTGATGAGATATATGTATGAGATAGTATCTTTCCATAGCGATTGCAAGGGTAATTTGAAAGACGTTAGTGATGAGATATATTACGAGTTTTGGTTGATGTTTTATTTTTATAAAGTATAATATATATACACGTATTTTTTTTTCGAGAGTATTTGGCAAGACTTGCAGCCTACAACGATGTAGAATTGGATGAGATTCAAGAACAATGGGTTAAGTTTTTTAGGCTTAATTTTTTGTTGAAAGATTAGTTATCTTATTAATCGATGTTATGATTTATCGCATTTAGCTTAATAAAATTATATAACACATTTTTATACATCTACTTGAATTTTATTTAGCCTATTGGTTATTGTTATTACATTTCTAAATTATAAATCAATGCGTTTTTAATTCAAGTTTAATTGTTTTTTGGAAATTAAAGTATAATTAATTTTTTTGTATTGTATGGTTATGGATGAATAATTCGAGTTGTGTGGAACTATTTAGAGTGTTGGTATTGTATGGAAGTATGGAAGTATTCGTAGTACGTGTTTTGTTGGTTGAATTGTAACAGGTTATAACCCTTTTGACAATGGGTCATTTGGTAGGATATACTACCATTTTTGTATTTGAATCAAATATTTTAAAAAATATATATATATTAGTAACTGGCGTAATCTAGTGCTAGTTACTAATAATATTATTTTTAAAAAAATAAAAAATATATTCGTAACCGGTGTTATGATTTGCCAGTTATTGATAATACCCTTATGTAACCGACGTAACTTAATGCCAGTTACAAATAGTGTACGTTTTTACTTGAAAAAAAGACTTTTTGTAACTAGCGTTGGGTTATGCTAGTTACGAATAATACCCTTATTGTAACCCACTTAACTTAATGCCAGTTATAAATAGTGTACTTTTTTACTTGAAAAATTGACTTTTTGTAACTGGCATTGGGTTATGCTAGTTACAAATAATACCCTTACTATAACCGACTTAACTTAATGCCAGTTACAAATAGTGTGATTTCTTACATGGAAAATAGACCTTTTGTAACTGGCGTTAGGTTATGCCAGTTACAAATAATACATTATTTGTAATTATCATGAGCCGGTTACGAATAATTTTCACTAGTTGTAATAGTGACATTAGCAACCAACAATGCCAGTTACAAAAAGTCAATTTTGCCAGTTACAAATAGCACTTTTTCTATCCACCGCCATCTACAAGTCCTGGATTCAATTTTTGCAATTAATACGGCGGAATTTAAATGAAATTTCCTCAAGATCGAAATTTTCTAGGTTATGTATCTTTGCGTTCCAATTATTTATGTTGAATGCTTTGATATCTTGAGTTTAATTGATGTAATATTTAGAAGTTTAATTTGGATGAACTTATTTCCCCAAACCCCCCCTCCTCTTTTGTTCTCTGATCGAGTAATTAGGTGAAACAACTCAAGAATTTTGTTTATTCTCTATTAAATTGCAACCTTTGTGTTTCATTATGCATGATTTGTGTTCATTTTTTTAAAAGTTTTATTTAGTTTTAATTTAATTGCATATTTGATTCCTATTTTTTTAACTGTTGACAATTGAACTTGCAATTTTTTTAAAGGCAAATCTTCCTTTTTTTTTTCTTTAATTGGGTTAATTTTTCTGAAGTACTTTCTCAATTCAATCTGGGTTAATTCGATCAATTATAAGTGGATTTCATTTGTTGAAGTTATGTTGGATTGATGGCCAGAAAACTTTGTCTTAATTTTTTTTATGTTTCATGAATTGGAAAGAAGGTAATGCTCATTGTTGTGATTATTTCATGACTGATGATTATTTTATGTGAAGCAAGATATTGTATGGAGTATAATATGACTATGTGAAGGTAGTACAATGAAGGTTTTTTTATATAGAGGTGAGCTTCTATGATGCTATTTTCAATGGTCTTGTGTGATTAGGTACAATTATCTGCTTGTCATTTATGTCATTTTTGCAAGCCCGTTTTTTTTTCTATTGATTGGATAAAGCCTAACATGGCATTTTCTCCCTATTTTTATCACCTGTTCCGTTTTGTATCTTAGTCTTATAATATCTCTCTTTGCTTAGCATAAATGTTTCTATAGTTATTTTTAATGAGTAATTTTACAGGTAACTTGGTCAAAATTTTTATTTGTTCATTAGTGTTTAGTTGCTCAAGGTTCCAATGCAATTTTGGGTTTCCACGAGTGAGTTATAGTTCTATTAGGGAGATGCTACATTTAATCTTTCTAATTATACTCTCATCTTTGTTCTTCCTTTTTTTTATTATTTTTTTATCGTAATGCAATCTTAGTATAACTAGTATAATGTGGGTTAAAATGTAGTGTAATTACTCTGTTTTAATCAAAGGGGTGGGGCGGGGGGAGATTAAGGGATTAAACTTGAGTTACCTAAGTTAAGGAGTTGTGATTAGCTAATAAAGTTTCTGGTTTAGGATTTCATTTTTTATTTAGATAAACAAAGGGTTTTTGCTTGTGAACTAAATAGTAAGCAGTTTAAGACTTGTTTGGTGCAAGGATGACATGCATTTATATAGCCTACAACTCTACAAGCAATTGGTGCTGCAATGAAAAATGCAGTTATTTATCTTGATTTTATAATGATTTATTACTAAGGTCCTAGTTAAGTAGTTTGGCTTATTATTTTCTTATTATGAGCTTTTTTTCTTTATATTAAGTCCTGTGTTCGGTATCTTTAGTAGCTTGCTGTTACATTGTACTTGTTGTCAAAATTACATTCTACATAGTATGACCAAGTCCCAACCCTGCTATATCAAGCTCTTTTTGCTTCTGCAGATTTGTTTGGATTTGTTAACATTTCTTTTGTACACAAATTTGCTACTATTTAAGATTTTGGGAAAATTAGTGGTTGACTTTCAAAATCACATTGGATGTATAATTCCCTTGGTTGGCTCACTGGGATAATGTTGAAAAATAAGTGTTGGGGTTATCTAGGCCTTGGTACTGCCATATTAATTCCACCTCAGATTTTCTTTTATTTTTTTTAAAATTATGATATAGTTTGCGACAAGTTATGTTATGTATACTGATTGTTTTTCTATTATTATTAGACACCTTGGACTGAAATGTTTGAAAAGGTTTAGCTAGTTTGTGTGTGTGAACTATGTCATTTCCAATTAATTTCTTTTTTATTTAAATTTTTTTGAGTCACTTCAACCTTATTGAAAAAGGAAGGGGGAAATGCACTATATATAGAAGTTGAACTCTATTGAAGAATTTGGCCTACTTTTTCTAGGTTAGATTTTACTCGCACTTATCGTCTTGTCTTATAAACTTGAAAAGTGCCTTCTAACTAGCATGGTGATCAGTTTTGCTCTTTATTTGAAATGTTTATCGAGTATTATGCATTAGTTACTCCTATATTGCATATCGTTAGACAAGGTGACATTTGTATGTTTGTGTTGTGCTTGACATTGCTGCTAGTCTTGCTACTATTTAGATAAATTAAGATTAGCCTAATAAACCCTTAATGTTAAAAAAAAATTTCTTAACTTGACCGTAACTACAGTGAGGTAAATGAGTAAGAAAAAGGAGTAGAAGAGGAGAAACTTACGTTAAGTTGCCAGGCTCTTGGTTACGTCGTAATTGGATTTTTTTTTTTAATTATGGTGATGGGGAATTAATCTTGGTTCTTTTTGTTGTTATTTTACAATTTTCCAAGGCTGAATGTTAGTTGTTCATATTGTAAATATAATCTGGTTTGTGTGACTATGTTTGTGAGTGTATATGTGGTTGTAATTTCTTATGGATGTTGTTGCGCGCTATTGTTGCTGCATGATGCTGTTGCTGACTGCTGTCTCATGATGCTGTTGTTGCTGACTGTTGTTACATGATGCTATTGTTGCATGACTCTGATGCTGATGCTGCTGTGCTCCTACTGCATGATGCTGCTGTGCTCCTACTGCATGATGCTGATGCTGCTATGCTCTTACTACATGATGCTGCAATCCTCCTATTGCATGATGTTGATGTTGATATGCTCCTGCTGCTATCAGCTCTTAATGTTGATGTTGTTATGCGCCTCCAGTCCTATTGTTGTGGTTATGCTCCCATTGTAATAATTTTTTTTACTATAAAACATTACAAGAATTTATTAATGGAAAGCCAAGTTTACATATATGTAAGTCATTGTGTATCAATTTAAGTAATAAATAAAGCAATTAAAAATTTATTATTTGATCCTTTTGTTTTGGCACTAACCACATCAGCACCGAGCCAAAACCGGTGCCCATTTGTCTTGTTTTACTAGTGTATTTATGGAAATAAAGATTATTAGGCAGGGTAGTATTTGTGGCAACAAGGGATTTAGTCACGGTGCTATTTGTGACAAAAATTTTAAATAGCCATGTAGTATTAGTGGCAAATAATTTGTTAGCCACGTTAATACTCGTGGCAAATGAATTTGTTTGCCAAGTGAATATCCGTGGTATAAAAATTAAAATTTGCCACGACATTCACTTTTCCATGGCAAATTCCTAGCCACGCCCTCTTTTGGCCCGTGTCCATGACCTGTCACCCGGGTCTACAGTCCCTTGCCACACGTGCCGCCATCGTGGCACACTGCCACATGGAACGCTGCCACTTGGCTGCTGCCACTTGGTGTTGCCACATGGCGGGCTACCAATGTGGCACGCTACCACATGGCGCGTTGCCAACGTGGCACGCTGCCACTTTGTGGCTGCCACGTGTTCTTCCACATGGCGTGCTGCCATGTGTGCTGCCACATGGCACACTCCTATTTGGCGCGCTTTCCTAGCCTATTGCGTAGCTAGGATTTTACTTGTTACTTGAAGTATTTTCCCGTCTCACCAAATCCTAAATTTTTGCTCGACATTTGAGATTCTCCGACGCTCTGTTTCGACGCTCCAAGCTCGAATTTCTGACGTCTAAATATTTATTACTCGGGCGACTCATTAATTTGTCCGAATTAATTCGTTGTGTCGGTTCGTTCATTGCTTGGGTGTGACCCGAAGGGTTCAGTCAAGATTAAGCTGTAATATTAATTATGCATTAATATTACTAATCGGAAGCGGCCTCCACCTAGGCATTCCGATCACTTGATTTTACTGAATATATTAGCTTTATAGTTATTCTGAACTCACTATCAGAATAATACACTTGTTCGATGGACACTATTCCTTTCAATCTCCCACTTATCCTTCCGGACAAGTGTGCTTTTAGTGTATAGCCCTTTTCCTATGTCGCTTAATGTCTCTTCATGAACTGTAAGGTAAGATTATTTTGTCATCCTTATTACGTCCAGAAGTGTTTCTCAATTCCGTGTCCGACTGTCAATAAACAGATGATTTCTAAAATCCATCCGAGCACGGCCATGCATTTTTACCTTCTCGCTCTACGAGAGGCCTTGTAACAACAAAGACATCTTCCCTAATTTTAATAGGGGGGACATTTCCAGTCTTGTAATGTAGCTTCTCTTACTATGAGAACCTAGCCACCCGAGTAATGTCGTTATAATCCCCTGTTACGGTAGACGTTTAACAATCATCAAAACGGACTAGTACTCAAACAAGAAAGCTCACAATACTCATGGTCAAGGAAAAAGGTTTCGATAGAAATAATGAGAAGTATACTTATGACGATTTTTAATTTCTTAAAGTATTCTCATAGGTCGGTCTAGTATGGTTATAAACCAATACCTGTGCAAATTATTCATGACAATCATGTCCTCTTAGCACATGAAACGGTGCTATAAATCAAACTACACACTAATCTCAACTGGTCATTAATCGTCCATTATTTAAATGACCTCGATTAGGAATAATATTCGATTATAATATTCAACGTTCACATAATAGGTGTTTCCTTACCAAGACTGCTCTTGAAACCCTATTTTGAATATTCCAAGAATCGAATGGACTCATTATTTAATTCTAAACCACATATAAATAGCAAACGGAGTGATAAAAATTGCATGAAATTTTAAATTACTCCAAAACCTGAATGGTTTATATTATGATAAATGGTTTTTCCGAATATTTTAAGAGTATCACTCTTTATAAAACATCTATAGAAATCACACCTATATCTAATATGCTTGATTTCTTTCATGCAATTGTGAAAGTTATAGTTCACTTATTTCATAGGTTTAGTTATAACTACTTTGCTAATCTTAGCATCTTCATTACCGATCACTTTCATAATAAGATGATAAAATTTGAGAGTGTCATGGATTATATGTGATTTAGGATTTATTGTCCAAGTGATGGCTCCCACTCATTTTCATAATTGAGATCTTCAACTTGGGAACCTACAATCATTAACATTCAGCAACAAACTTTCCACAGAACATCTTCTTTATTATCGCCATTAAGGCAACAATATTCTAAACATATATTTTAGTAGACTTTCTGATGATGCTTTTCTAGGGTTTCACTCCAAACGACTCACAATGATTTAGGATACTCTAATCACTTATGATCATGGAAATTTTCCTTTAATTCCTGCACATTACAAATGGATGCACGTCCATGTTACCATTATCAAGCCACGACTTATCGTTAGCTCGTGCTTATAAACGGCTTCCTTGTTAAGGATCTAATCCTTGTTAAGGTTTGTGCTTGCAACATCAATTTTCAAATTGTATTTGTTTCCACAAGTCTAGAACTCATCCTGTTACTTATCCAAGTAATTTAGATGTTATTGGCCACAAGCTAACAATCTATAACATAGATTTAGGTTCATTGGTACTACATACATACTTCACATGCTCTAAGCAAGTAAGTCGTGCGACGATTCCATATCACGACGTACATGATGGATTAAATTGCAGAGTTATTCTCAATCTTATTCCATCCATGTGATATTTTAGTTCATTCAGTTTCACTGAGTCTTGCTAAACTGTTTGCGATGTGATATGGTTGAAACTCTCTATTAGAGTCTTTCATGTTTGACTTAGTATTTAGCCTAGCTTATACTTAGTTCAAACATTTACTTAGTTTTATACATATGAGTCGAAAGTCTTTCAAAGTCTTTAAATTCATGTTTAACATGGTAAAATCCTTTACACGTTCAAACATTTTATTAAGTCTATACAATAGATCTTAATACTAATATGTACTAAGTATCGTCTTTTGCTTGGTCCATTTTCCAAAATACATTCAAATCTAAGCATTTAACATTTGATAGTTATTTCACAATAGAGTTCATAAACTTTTCCTTGGACCTTTATATAATTTACTTTTGCTCCCACTAAACTTCTTATTCATAAGAATTTCTATGTTTCTCCATAAGTCAATCCTCTTATTAATTTCATGAGAAAACATGTTCCAATTCGTATATGCAATGCTTCCATTAATCCCAAGACGGATTCCTTGAGCTTGCATTTAAATCTAGCATTTATTTATATTTTCAAAACCCTTAGACTATTTTCATTGTTACTTCCAAAATCCTATTTCAGGAAAGCGGTTTTGGTATCTATTTTGCCATATTTCATATGAGCAATTTTGCTAAAACAGTCACGAAAAGAGTTTAGCATTCTGATTGGTGAATAGGTTTTTAAAATCAACTCCGTGAATTTAATTGTATCCTTTTCAACCAATCTAGATATGTATGCATATACATTTCCACATTTGTTAGTTTTCTCCTTGAAAGCTTATTTTCAATTGATGGGTTCTTTCACCCTTTATACAAATTAATCATGTTTCAAACATGATTTTCAAACATGGAGTCTTTCTCGGATTTTATGGCCTCTAACCATTATTCGGAATTTGGATTTGTCGTAGCTATCTTACAAGGCATTATTCATTTACTATCTAGTAGTAAATAGTATTCTTGTAAGTCTTAGGTTTATTTCTAACTTAATAGAAATTTACAGGATTCCATCCAAGCCTTTGGTGAATTCTATACCTATACGGGGCAATTGCATTAAACACTGAGTTTCAAGGCGCTTCCAAAGACCTTTAATTTTCTTGATCTTACTCCAACTTTTCAAAAGTTTTGTGAGAAATGAATTCTCTTTTAGGGCATTTGTAAAGTCCTTTTGACAATTCTTGATCAAGTATTCTCACGAAGCCTTTTTAAGGTCTTCCGAGATTCTCAGTTCTAGTTTGTTGCTAAGCTCGATTTGAAAGGAATGGTGTCCTTCGAACAAGTGTACTATACCGTTAGTGGGTTCAGAATTATTAGAAAGGCAATATATTCAGTTAGGTAAAGTGATCAGAATTCCTAGGTGGAGGACACTCCTGATCAGTAAAATTAATGCATAATTAATATTACAGCTTAATCTTGACTGAACCCTTCGGTTAACACCCAAGCAACTAACGAACCAAAGCGACGAATTAATCCGAAAGGAATAATTAATAAGTCGACTAAATAATTAATATTTAGACGAAAAAATAGTAAAAGACGAGACGTGAAAATAATAATAAATCAACAAAGACCAAAAGACCCCTAGCACCTGAATGTCCCGAGCAAACCGAGTGCTAGGGGCATATGACCTAGCATGGTGTCTAGCATGAGCACCAAGCCGAGCCTAGGCTGGTGCGTGCTAGCGCACCAATGATACCATCGCAAGGCTAGGCGTGCCAGCCGCAGCAGCTAGCAGTAGCATGGTTGGGCCAATGTGTGCTGCCTAGTAATGCTGGGCCAAGGAGCAAGGCCAGCAGCAGCTCTCAGTAGCAGCCCGCATCCTTGGTGCGTGGATCGCTGCCTGAGAGTGCTAGCAGCCCGCACAAGCATGCTAGGAGTGCTAGTTGGCAGCGCTAGCAGCCCGCATGCTTGGTCTAGTCCTGCTGGGCGAGGCAGCCACGGACAAGGCAGCCCACCTTGGGTGCCTTGATGCCCAAGGGTGGGTGCCATGTGGCACATGGTGAGATGTGGGTGAAGTGTTGTGTTGGCTAGCTTTGGGACAGGGAGTGGGGAGCATGTTTGGTCCCCCCTCCCTCCTCCAAATGGTCCTCACCTAATTTCTCACATGAGCTTGCCACTTGTTGATTTATTACTAGTTTGATTATTAATTTTATTTTAGCTTTAAAATAAAATGGGAAAATCAAATTCTCCCACATTGATGGGAGAGCTTTTCACTCTCTAGCTCTTCCCTATAAATACCCAACTTAGGGCATTGGGAAGACCACTTGAGTAACAGTTTAAAAAGGTATCACCATTGTGAAAACCTTTGAACTCATTAATTACTCGGGTTTTGGTCGGGCCTTGCTAACC